CCTAATTCCCCACCCATAAAACCCTATAACCACCGTTTTCGTAGGGAAACATTTTGGGAGTAGGGATTAATGAGTGGGCCTACATAAGCTACTGTTGCCGATATGCTTTATGTAGTTTTCATCTGCCCTGTCAAAGGTTCAGGGGAAGTTCCCGGACATGTTGGCACATGCCTTCTCATCTTCTAGTCATCAGAGTCCTGAGACAACCAGTGCCATATTTCATGCTGCACTGGTAAATTAAGCATTTCACCGTGGTTTGGTTTTGCAGCGAAGGAAGTCACTCATTCGTTTAGCTGTTGTTTATACGCTCCCTTTCTCCCAAAGGAGCCCTATGGCTGTCAGGAAATGGCAGTGCTCAGTCTTAATAGGAAGGCATAATTGTCTTCCGCGTGGATTCAAGCACACGCCTCACTGTAAAAATTACAATTACAACCGTTCGTTGATTTTCTTACCATAGGGAAAATAAGGAAATACTAACGTTGATACTGAAAACTATAATATGCCGAACTCCCTTAGTAGTTGCCCAGCTTCAAGCGTACAAACAAACTGCACCTGGGATTTGGCTTATTAGAAATAGGATCGACGCACTGTCCTTTTGACGTTATCTGAATTCTTCTCCAAAATTATGGTGCCCGAAAGTAGGCAGTATGTACTTGATCCGTTGAGCCCCTGTTGTTGGATAAATCGGCTTTACGGATTATTGTCCATGAAGTTTCTTGGGAATTTTATTACAGGTACCGTCCCCAGTGGTACCTGCCGTTGCCCTCTGTTAGCCGTGAGTATACCCACGTTGTCCACGAGGATGTCGGGGGTTGGATTTCGGTCAGCGAAGTGGGCATTATGCAATAGATGTTCACAGTAGAACCACTTCTCATGAAACAACGCTACTAAGAGAACGTCCGCAGGTCGGAAAATTTATTCTGCACGGATCGAAAAAATTAAAATTTAGCTGAATGAATATTGAAGCCAATAGTAGGGGGCGTGCGCCAGTAAGCTCGTGTGGGTGCACGATGGAGGAGATTGAGTGCGTCACCCTCAGGGATGCACTTGTGTATGGACGCCTGCGATAGCTGCCTAATGGATCTTGGTCCGAGATGCATACATGTTAGGTGCTGAGCTATCGAGGATGATGACGGTTACGATAGAAATAATAGTGATGAGGAGAAGCTTGATGATGTTGAAGCCAATGGTGATTTCCCGGCCGTGTGCAGTGTGAGCGTGTGAACATGGGGGGAGGGGACTGTGTTTCATTCTGTTCTGATTATTTCAAGGTCCTCTGAGATCTGGTTCTTTAAGTAGTTTCTTGCATGCCAAAATTTGCAATTGTTAAATGCCTCAATCAACTCTGTTCGTTTTAGCCGAAATAGTGGCCTTCACGGTCAATAATGTACCTTCGCTTTTTCCTTCAACGCCCCAACCGGCTATTCCTCTGGGTCGATTAATGTACTTGATTTATTTGGTCGACGTTTACTCTACGGTCTGTACCACCGCTCTCTCTCTCTGTACATTTATTCTACACCACATAGGTATTTAGCTATCAGCTTGCGCATTGAATCACTCAGCGTGCCGGAGAGGTGGTGGTAATGAGTCAGGATCAAACTTTGTGAGAAGAAACGTTAGGCGAATAAAATTATTGTCCCGGCGATCACATCTAATTCTCAATTACTTCCTGGGACTCGCATGTTTGGTTGTATTGACAATCAAACCTTGTGCCAGATAAGGGGCCCCTGTCTCTCTTTTTCTCTTACTGATAGTCTCGCGAATCTGCTTGTAACATATCAGGTAGAAGATTTATGCTCTTTTTCACTCTTTTTTTCCCCAGCACACTGTTTGTGTTATCTCAATAGACTTCGTCTCCAAGGAAGTGCATGCCAGTCTGTTGTCCTATCTGGTGTCCAATTCTGCTGATTCGCTTATTGAGAAAGCGCTACAAGTCGGTACTCGCTTTAACGATGCTATAATTGAACGGACCACTAATCATTCCGCCTATCTTCGAGTGCCATCTGCAAATAACGCTCGAGCAGTTCTACAGGTAACTCCTACCCCTCTAAATACTACTTTTGCATTTTTCTTACTGCGCCTAAAAGTCTATCGCACTATTTTTTGCTGAGTATAATCCTTCAGAGCTCAATCTTTTGAACTTATTTTGTTAGAAAAGTCAAGCTTTTGACGAGGCACCAGTCAAAAAATGGACCGCAGCACTAAGCAAGGAGGTGCCGCTGACTTGTCGTGTCATTGATCTGAACCTTTTTGACAATGTTGCAATCGTTACTCGGAAGACGTAAGCCAGTGTCTCTTTCTATTTAAAAAATTAAAAATTTAGGGAGATGTTGACGGCAACTTTCCTTTCAATTTCCGACGTCAAGTCTGGGGCAAAAGTCACGGTAAGCAGGTATTAATGTATACGTTCAACTTGAGTTTATTTTTTCTACGATAAAGCTTCATATCCTGCCTCTACTCCCCTTTTTCCTGTTCGACACTGATTTTTCAGGCGACAGTACGAAAGTTCGACAAGGGAGGCGTCGTCGTTCGGATTGGTGGAAAACTACGCGGCCTTATACCTTATATGCATCTGTCAGACGTGGCTATAAAGAAACCGGAGGATCGTTTTAAACGAGGGGACAAAATCAAATGCCGGGTAAGATTTTAGAGCGTCCACTAGAACACTTCTTTTGTTCATTAGTTTGTTCGAATTAAAACGTCCTACTATTATTTAAAAAGTAACAAATTTACGGTTACTTGAAAAAAATACACGGCAAACGCCTATTTCGTATTCTTCACGTATTTCAGTATCTGGTTGATTCTACGTCTTGACTTTAGCGTCATCTCTTACTGCCTTTATAAGGTCCTCGTGATCAACAAAGAAAGTGGAAAACTTCTACTTACTGCTAAAAAGTCGCTTCTATCTTCGGAGCTGCCTCTGTTGGGAAGCGCTAAAATGCGAAAGACCTGGAGTAAGCTAGTAGAAGAACAAAAAACGCGTGAAGAACCGCTGCTTGTGCTTGCCTTTGTTGTTCACGTCTCCGAGAAAGGTGTACTAGTCTCCGGTGTGAACAATGTTCGCGGTTGGGTTCCGAAAAAGGAGACTTTTGCCGCCTCCTCGCCCTCAATCACAGAGTTCTTCTCCCGCGGCCAGACTCTCCAATTTCGTGTGCTGAGGGATCTGGCGTCAAAAGCGGACGAATTCAAGTCAAAGAAACCGCTTTCCCAGTTTCTGCTTTCTCAGAAGGTATGTCCGGTTGCTTGGAATCCGATCATCATTCAATGTAATATTTCTCATTAACCTGATGCTTTCAAATACAATACTACGAAGTCGGGTCCCTCCGCGACTGCTTAATCCGTTCATTGCTAGCACTTTAAGTCTAAATGCTGGCTTCTGCTATTGGTTTTTTTCATTGTACTCAATGCGGACCACCATCGTCTGGGAGAAACAGTGGCAATTTTGGCATGAATTATTCTTCAATTAAGATGACTTGTGAAACGTTCGTCCTACGCTTCCTTCCTACACCCATTGACAAAGCGGCTAGAAATGGATGTGGTCATAGTGGTTGAAACCGATTCTGACAAGTGCCGCGTATGCTGGTCCTAACAGGCGTGCAAATCAAACCTCAAAAGGTGTCTTGGATCCTTAATCGACAAAAGTTACCGACAGAGCCACGCTAAGAACTGTTGCAGGTTTAAACTGTGTTCGGAATGAGTCCGGTTTAAGTACTCATTTAATGGAATGCGAAGACAGGACTTTCAGATGATCCGACGATTTAGGCGAAAGTCCTTTCTTACTGTGAGAATATCTTACGAAGAGTCAATCTGACTAGACATTAAGATCTCCGTCTAACGCATGTGAAACTCTCGGGTTGATTTCTCGTGGGTCTAATGCAGCAGCTCGGAAAATTTTGGGGTCCGTTTGTGACGGCAGCTGACACTTGCATGTTGAGAGAAAAGCATAGCTTGCATTATCTAGGCAGGAGTACTCAATCATTAACTGTTCGCCTCATGGCAGACGGGCTCTGCTGTACCTCCAACAGAGGGCCCACTCTCCCATAGAGAGGAGCGTTTTTATTGCACGCGTTTGACCACACCCATCGCACAGAGCAAACGGTGGATCGCTTTGGCCAGGATAATTTTGACCTATCATAATATAGGAGATACAATTCACAGAAAACTCCTATAAGACGCAGGCCACCCACACGCATCCAGGAAAGTTGTACTGAACTACAGTAACAATCCTTTTGCAAAATAAGACCTAATTTAGTTAACAACTTGTCATTTATTTGATAGAACGGTATTTATTTTAACGAAAACCATCAAAAACAATATGACAAGTTCATTATTCAAGACCTGATACAACTGACAGCGGAGAAGGTAAGTATATTACAACGATAAAATAATGAAGGGCGACAACTATTACAGCGTATTAGTGCTTTGTTAAGGGCCCGTTTGCGTCTAAAACGGCTGTAAGCCCGGTGGACATAGAAACGACTGAGCTAAAAATCCAGCGTTTAGTGGAGTTACAGGTGCTTTTTTGCCCTGTCCCGATTTCATTTCATAAGTGCAGGAAGATTTTGTTTCGGATTGGAATCCGGACCGTTTGCACCAACAGCTGGCCTCACAGGTCGCAGGCGGAGAGGCCAGCTGTGATCTAAAAATGATTATTGTCTAAGCTGAGTAAGAATCATACCTCCTTTGGGTCGTAAACAGCAGCATTATTCTTCAGCACTACGATGTTCATCCGGTATAGGCGAGTGCTGCTGTGACTGAAGTCATTATTTACGACGTCGATGGACACCCTGCTATTTATAGTCTCCGTAGTCAACCACCAGTTTGACCGCTCTCCAACTTGATGGCAATCCCAACAAACAGGCGTTCACATTTTCTGAAAGTTATTGTTGACACAGTGTGTTCTCGAAGAAAAAATTTTCCCACGTATGAGCGTCTGGGCTGAATTCGCAGGCTTGCCTTGTCACAAAAGTAATTGTTTTTCCAGATAGGAAATCTGTGCTCAATATACTCTTCAGCAAATAAAAATCATTTTCTGATCCGTTACCTACGTAAGAATGGTTTTGTTATGGCGTTTTGCTGATGTC